GAAACTGATTTAGGCTTAATACGCGGCTGGGCCTATTAACCGTGGGCTTAATAACCGGCGACTACTCTAATAGCTAAAAGCTCGGACACATGTTTTGCCGATATCCTGCCGCTGCGTGGCACAGCTATGACGGGTTCGGGTCTTATTTTAAAGATTTTGATATAAGCGTCGAACACAATCTACATTTGTGTATCTGAATCAACTTGTTGCACTTTGCTATAGGCGCTAGAACTCGTCGCATATTCACAGGAATCCTTTCAAAGGCTCCTCTATATAGTATACAACTTAAGAAAGTTCACGATAATCAGGGGCGGTAGTCCTTGATAACCGAAAGCCCATTTGGAAAGTTGCATCATTTTACCGCGCCTTCCGGCGCCTACTGTTTGCAGTCAACTGTGCAGTCTGCTGTTACTGTTGTCCCATCGGGTGCATCGTAAATATTTTTTTTGAAATTAAATTTAGCGCGGATGGTTAGACACAAAGCAACAGCAAGAGCAGCATTGACGTGGAATTAGACGTCAGGTGTCAACTTTTCTCCCATTTAACGGTACAGGGCCCCATTTTCAAGTTTGATGTGATCGAAATTCTTGCGAGCGGTGACAGCCGCGTGAACTGTGAACTGCTTAACTCGTGGTTCTTCAGTCCACAGCCTATCTCTGTGTGCAGTTATCTTCTCAATACTATAAACCACAAAAATCTGGACCTGGCATCGTGCAGGTGAATATTGTTTCTCAGACGACAGTACCAACGAGTCAAATTTCGGAATAATTTTCACACTTATATCCGATAGTGGTAATGAAAGCGTAGAGACTCAGATGTAATTAGCACACCGAGAAACATGTGTGGGAGCCGTCAATTTTAATAGCTATGTATTTGCATAGCGACCGAGTCCTATGCGGGGCGCAGCTTACTAATATCGCCTGCACTGACAATATCAACCTACTAACTTCAAGCACCACTGACCTACGGTGGAGGGTGAATGAAGTTACTACATCCGGCAGTTTATCCCTAAATACTGTAAAGACCGGTGTTGCTTCAGGATTAATCACTAAAGTGGAAGTCGAGTTTCAAATAACTCAGGGTAAGACTGCTGCCAAATGAATGCAGTAAGGACGACATCGTTTGCCGAATTAAGTTCACACATTCCAGAAGAAGTGTGTAGACGTCTGTACTCGGAGTCTATACGGTCAGTCCGCCTATACGATTGTGAACATCGGGTTCTGCGTGTGGAAGATCAACGAAAACTAAAGGCGTTTGGTCACCGTTTCATGAGGACCATTCTGTGAGTAAAGCACACCGTCTTAAATGAAACAGTTCTCGCTCGCTGCGACAAAGCTATCCGATAAAGACGACTGAAATGATTTCGACAAGTTCTTCTTCGTCCTGAGCTTTATGAGCTCAGGACCGTATTAAAGTCCTGCCACTCCCTTTTTCACAATTGGGTTAGTGAAATTATTAAAATTTTGTCCTTTGTAGTAATTGTTCTATATGCTCAAGTGATACCCTTATCATACTGCTTCTTAGGCTTCCGGACCGGTCTACCTGACGACGCACACTCGTCTGCCAGTTCACATTGTGGAGACCAGTGAGGTCGAAAGCTATCTTCAGGATTATGCCCAGTACCTGGGACCGGGCCCGCCGACCGAACCAAATCAGACAGATACCCCCGTTCCGGCCCTGTCTAGCATGGAAATAGCTCCCATAGAGCCCTCTAACTTGGACGCCTCCGTAGCAG